AATTGTTGGTTTGAAACCCTAGATCTGAGGTCTTTTGCCTGATGGATTTGTTTGATCTTTGTTTCTGTATATGATCTGGATCCACTTATTCGTTTTTAGCGGATAAGGAATAATGAAGTTTGGTCAACGGTTACAAATTTATTTTAAACAAAAAAGGGGCGAAGAGATTGTGTGTGGATTCTTGTTCATGCTTTGATTCATTGATTTTTTTTTTTGTTCTCAGTTTTTGACTTGGTAATTCTGATATAGATTGGGTTGAGAAAATAGTGACGGGATTATCAGGATGCTGAGATATTAAATATGATTTAATTGGTTTTTACTATCATATGTATGTATTTTTGAAATATTGAAGATTAGGATGATTCTTCAAATGATAAATCCATGCAGTTTTATTTAGAGTATGGAATACACCCACTAGATGGTTTGAATTCAGACAAACCATAACTGAAATTCTTGTTTTGACTTCAGTCGCAACTCAACTATCATTCTTTACAATCTGACAAACAAACCGGTAATTCATTTCAACAGGTTTAATCTAGTGATCACATAAAAAGTATGTCGCCAGCCGATGCTTCCCGAGAAGAAAATGTCTACATGGCCAAGTTGGCTGAGCAGGCCGAGAGATACGAGGAAATGGTTGAGTTCATGGAGAAGGTTGTGAAGACAGTGGACACTGAAGAGCTGACTGTTGAGGAAAGGAACCTCCTCTCTGTCGCATACAAGAATGTGATTGGCGCTAGGAGGGCCTCTTGGAGGATCATCTCCTCCATTGAGCAGAAGGAAGAAGGTCGTGGTAATGATGACCATGTCAAGATTATCAAGGAATATCGGGCCAAGATTGAGGCCGAGCTCACCAAGATATGTGATGGGATTCTGAAGCTTCTCGAGTCGCATCTTGTTCCTTCTGCCTCGTCTGCCGAGTCAAAGGTTTTTTACTTGAAGATGAAGGGCGATTACTATAGGTACTTGGCTGAGTTCAAGACTGGGGCTGAGAGGAAGGAAGCTGCCGAGAGCACTTTGCTGGCTTACAAGTCTGCGCAGGTGAGTGTGAAATTATGAGTTCTTTTGTTTTTGGTAGATGTCCTTTTTTAATTTGTATATTCTGAGTTGGTCTTTGCTTTTTGCTGCGTAGGATATTGCATTGGCTGAATTGGCTCCCACTCACCCAATTAGGCTGGGGCTGGCACTTAACTTCTCGGTCTTCTACTATGAAATCCTCAACTCACCTGACCGTGCTTGTGCCCTTGCTAAGCAGGTATTGTGAAGAACATATCTTTGTGATTCTTTGGTAGTGTGTCATGCCCAATTTCATTGAATCCAATCCAATGGCCCTTGGCACTACTTCGTAGGTGGTTTTTATTTCATACCGAACTTAATCCTTGTTCTGTATCTCTCTCTGAAGGTTGAGTTGATTTGGGTGCTAAAGCTATAACTTTTATACCTTTCCAAAAGTTCACAATTGATGATATGTTAACATTCTTTATTAATTATTTGTCGTGGTCTTAAAAGTCATCGGTTTGGTTACCTATTACCATTTCTTGGACTTGTATCCCACTATCCCTATATATGATTGCTCTTTTCAGTGGAAGCTGTTGGTTGGCCATTGCATATGACTTTTCCGTCAATTTTTTTTTTCTTTCTTTATGTTTTTGTAACCTTTCACATCGTTACTTATCAAAATGGATGGACTCTTCTTCAGGCTTTTGATGAAGCTATCTCTGAACTTGACACATTGGGTGAGGAATCATACAAGGACAGCACATTGATCATGCAACTTCTCCGAGACAACTTAACTCTTTGGACTTCTGACATTGCGGTATTTATACGAAATCCTCTTGATCCGCCGTCAACCATTGAATCAGCCCTTAGTTTTCCTTTTACTAGCTTGCCTTATATATATATATGTAATGCAGTTGATATATGTTTCCGTCATTTGTGGTTATTTACATATAATTTTGGCCTGTATAATACGCTGACCTTTCGGATTTTTACTTTGTTTTGTTTTGTTTCAGGACGATGGTGATGATATCAAGGAGACCACCAAACGTGATTCTGGCGAGGGACAACAGTGATGAACTTGAAATGTAGCAGTGTGTTTCTTTATATTGTTGGATTCTTACAACATTATTAGTTTGGATCTGTTGTAGTAAGAAGTGTCTGCTGTTACTGTTGTTTCTTTTCATGGTTTGGAAGAGTGCAATGTTTTATAAGACTAAGGGAAGGAGGATGGTGACAAGTGGTTCTTGTTCGGGTGAGGGAGATGCTTGAAATTTATTATTGTTATGTTTGGTTTTGCTCGTCTGGTTTAGTTTCATCTGAGTTATGCATGTTTGCCTCTATTTTGCAATATGTGCCCTTGCGGAGGTCAATTTTTTATCTGTAAGATATCATGAAAATTGAATTCAAGTACCTGCAAGGCTGCAATTTGGTACTTGTAAGAGTTCATAGTACATCTTTATAGCGCATACAGTAGTTAATTGTTGAGTTAAATACACAGTAAAGGTTGGCTACTTTGCTAAAGTAACTTACAATTAGTGTCATAGGTCTTGTACTATGAGTGGCATTTGGTCTCTTCATTGCCGAACTTGTTTAATAATTTTTTAACTCAGAGTCTGCACCTCTAAAAATTGATTCACGATATGTGTTTCTTGCATTTTTGTAAAATCGTTGTCAACTCGTATTCAAATAAATGAGGGGTGGGTAAAGTGTTTACCCCACACTTTACTACATAGCCTGGATTTGGATTTGAAATAGAAGCACGCATTGGTGGAGTTGAAATAGAAGGTGATGGAATCATACTCGCAGACGCTTCTAAACCTACTGTTTCCTATTTTGGGAATCAGAAGAACATAAATTTGCAAAAGAAAATTAGGGAATGTATTCTTCGCAAATTAATATAACCGCCATATGTTGTAAACAATGTCATTTCCTCAATTACCTGTGCTATATCTCTGCTTTTGTTATGTTCTTACTCTGTGTGTGCTTCCATTGTTTTTCAGGGGTTTTGGTGAAGACAACCAGTTACGGACAAGTAATCATGACGAAACAGAATGGGTTTGCATCATCGCCATTCTTTAGTCACACCCTTTTACTATTTATGTTATTCTAAATTTTGTTTTATAATTTCCTTTTTTTATTCTTTCTTTTTTCGGAGTCCATCCATCAATGTTATTGCGTTTTGCATACTTTTATATTAAGATATTATTTTATAAAATTTAACATAAACAAAAATATGACATCTCATAGTCACAGTATAAATATGCATTTTTTTTATATGAAAATATACAATAACTTGATCGTTCTAATGATTAGATCTCCTATTAATAAGATTTTATCTCAAAATACATTTATATTTATTTGATGGGATATATAACTACATTAGACCTTGAATATTATTAAATAACATAAGTTATGGAATAAGTTAAATTCATATGTGTGTATGTTACATTTTTATTAAATGGCTGTGGTAATAAATATCGATTTCATCAAACCAAAACTAACGGAAATCTTATACATAAATTTTCAAAAGAGGATTGTAACTACCATAGTTCATAGATCACCACGATTTGATCTCAACATGAAATCCAAACCCATCATAAATATGATTACAATTCTCCTGTTGGCAATAATCACCATGCATCCGTCTCAAGCATTCAAGAAATCGACATGGGTTGACTCGTTGGCTTCACCACCATTCTCTTTCCACGTTGAAATTGAAAATCCCCCAATTAAGGGCAATCCAAAGGTAACAAAGAAAATCACTAAGGAGGCGGATTTAACAGAGAAAAAATATGATTTTTATTCTCCGATATTGCCCTATCATTTACCCAATCACGATGACTATACTGTATTACCAAGAGATTGTTATTATGATTTAAATGCTGCATCGATGATAGATTTTGCTAATCTATTTTGCCACGAGGAGGTCGCTCTTGAGACAATTTCTGACTGCCCAACGATCAAGGCTATGGGTGTAGACTGCCTAATTGATGTATTTAGTAAGGATGTTGTAGAACGATATCACTGTAATAAAGATCTTTATCTCATTAAATATAGGGCTTTGAGAGTCTGGTACATTTGTATGCCACAGTACGCTTGATTAGGATATGAATATAATTGATATCCGTCCAACTAATAAAATTTGAGAATGCTCAAATAGTTTCATATTATTCGTCCCTTGATAAATAAAAAATAATCAATCATATGTATGTACCAAGATATAAAGCATAATTAAGAACACACATGTACAAGAAATTTTATCCCACTAGATTTAACCCAATACATATACCATTTTCTTGTTAATTTCGTTTTTCAGAGTGCAATCACTATAAGCGAGAACATGCTTGGTATTTTTTGTTTCAAACTAGGGAAATGACCATTGCATTGATACGAATGTTAATGTAAACTAGGAAAAAAATTCAAAACTAATCCCACAAGTAGAGGGGTGTGCAATTTTTGGTCCCGCATGATAGTGAAAGTTACGGATAGTCACACAACTTTAAAAAGTAATCAAAAGTAGGACTTTTGATGCGATTTTCGGCCTAGTGGGAATCCCGTGCATTTTAGAACATTTTTTCATAACTTTATTTTACAAATATATTAGTCTGCTGACTCATTTATATTAATATAAATAACATTTTAACATATATATTTATTTTTTAATGCAGGAAAAATAATAATTTTGCATATTTTACTCATTATAATATTCAAATATTATTTTATACAAAAATTTATCGTCGTTATTATTTATAACACCTATAAAAGTAACAATTTTTTATGAATTAAATAAGCTTTATGAATCTACACGTTTCTCGACATGTTTTAAGACATACAATGAGATAATTTTTAGTATAAATCAAATGAACTCTACATTGTTTCTTCTTTTTTCGAAAAACGAATTTTGAAAAGAATCTCAACTAATGTTTATGCACACGATATAAAAGCTAACTACATAAGCGATATCAAATAGAACTGCACAAAAATATATTATAAAAAATGAAAACTATACGCTCCATTTCATTTTATTCATCTCATAAATAATCACGATGCCTCAAAAAGGTTTGTAGAGAACATATCAAACTCTAGAAATTGAAAAACCCAAACATGAATATGAAGTCAAATGATAAACAAAAATAATAGTAAAAATAGTCTAATAAACTATATAATAATCCTTCTCAACTCTTTATTCTTCAACTTTAGTTTTTCACTTAGCATTAGTGACGTACATCTTCATGTACTTAAAAAATAATCAAACCTTTTCATTCTCGGCATCCTATAAAAAAATAAAAAAATAAAAAAATACTTGTAATTAGACACAATCAACACTCAATAAATAATAAATAAAAGTCTATAAATAATCCAATATTATAACGTACATTTTCGTTGTCAAATTCTTCACTTATCAACCGAGTTATGAAATCAAGTTCCTAAGTGAGAAGGAAAAACATTTTAAAACAAATTATCTTTTTAACATTTAAATTGAATCTAGATTTAGTAGAACAAATTTAATAAAATTATATACTAATTATTTTTTATAATCAAATGCGTAGAAATAAATATTTTTTTTATCTAATTTAAGTAAATTCCGAAAATAGATAAAATGAGTTTTAATAACACATTTATTAAATACATATACTTACAACTGTGCATAAATATACTATTAGTTTATATGTATACCTCTATAGGGGACGGATCCAATGAGACCACTCCTTAAAATGAGTACGTGAGACTCAATCTTAGCCACTCATTTTGTCTAAATCAAAATCAATTAAAATATACATTAATTAAATTATTAGTTGACTCCGGCGTTGACCATTGACTCCGGCATTGACCGTTGACTTCCAGCGTTGACCGTTGACTTCCGGCGTTGACCCGTTGACAACTAACCTAGCAGCAAGAAAGAAATATCCTAGCATTAAAATACAACTAACCTAGCAGGTAGAGAGATACATCTCACTCCTCACCGCATTGGGCAGGCTCACGGCCCGAGACTGGACAGGCTGCACGCCACCGCATCGCTACATGGTGGCCCCACCACCGCTTGTTCGGCCTCCACGGGCCAGAGCTGTTGTTTGGCTTCGACCTGACTATCCGTGGGTCAAGCTGAACACTGATGGCTCCTTTGATCGCCACACTGGACTTGCCGGAGGAGGAGGCTTGATTCGGGACCATAGCGGCGGCCTCATCACCGCCTTCCACGCGTCCATTCAGGCCTCCTCGAGCTACGATGCAGAGATTCAGGTACTACAGATTGGCCTTCAGATTGCTGTCCACCTCTCTAGTCATATATGGATCGAGCTGGATGCTGCGGCTGTCGCCACCCTCCTGACTTCGGGCCATCAGGGATCGTGGCAGATTCAGCACCCGCTTCTGCGCATTAGAGATCTACTTCAGTCAGTCCACCACAGGATCACGCACATTCTCCGTGAGGGGAACAGACCGGACGATTACCTGGCCAGCCTTGGCGCCACCATACCAGGCACACATACATTCCAAACCGACACTGCTCCACTCCGCCTTCGCACTCTTGTACAGATGGACCAGCTTGGATATCCAGCTTTCCGCTTTCGGTAGCTTAGGATTTCTGTTTTCTTTAATATAGACATACCTGTCGGGCATCTGTTAGCCCGAAGATCGACTTGGTATTGTAGTTTTTGTTTCCTTTTGTTTTTCGGTTTTTCTTTTTTTGTTTTTTCTTTTGTTTTTTGATCTTGATTAGTGAGACTCTGTAAACTTATGTATCTTGCTCGTTGATATTTCGGCTCCCGGCTTTGGGGCCTTGATCTATGTACAGGTTGGGGATCCAGCCCAATCCCCCGCCCTTCCGGGGCGTTGTTTTTTTTTTTTTTTTTTTTTTTATTTAAAAAGGAAAGAAGAAAAAAAAAAAAACCTAGCAACTATAGACAACTAACCTAGCAACAAAAGACAACTAATCTAGCAGCAAGAAAGAAATAACCTAACAACTTAAGACAACTAACCTAGCAACAAAACTCAACTAACCTAGCAACAAGAAATAAATAACCTAGCAACAACAGACAACTAACCTAGCAACAAAACACAACTAACTTAGCAGCAAGAAAGAAATAACATAGCAACAAAAGGCAACTAACATAGCAGCATCAGACAACTAACCTTTGGATCGAGCTAGACGCTGCGGCTGTAGCCACCTTTTTGACCTCGGGCCGCCAGAGATCATGGCAGATTCAGCACCCGCTTATGCGTATTAGAGCTCTACTCCGGTCTGTCCATCACAGGATCACGCACATTTTTCGTGAGGGGAACAAACCTGCCGACTATCTGGCCAGCCTTGGCGCCACCATACCAGACACACGTACATTTCAGACCGACACTGCTCTACTCCGCCTTCGCACTCTTGTACGGATGGACCAGCTTGGATATCCAGTGTTCCGCTTTCAGTAGTTTAGGATTTTTGCTTTTATTAGTCTAGACATTTATTTCGGGCATCTGTTAGCCCGAAGGTCGACTTTGTATTGTAGTTTTTGTTTCTTTTTCGTTTTTCTGCTTTTCTTTTTTGTTTCTTCTTTTGCTTTTGATTTTGACTAGTGAGACTCTGTAGACTTTTGTATCTTTCTCGTTGATATTGTGGGCCCCCAATTTTGGGGCCCTGATCTATGCACAGGTTGGGGGATCCAGCCCAATCCTCCGCCCTTCTGGGGCGTTGTTTGATTAAAAAAAAAAAAAAACCTTGCAACAAAACACAACTAACCTAGCAGCAAGAAAAAAATAACCTAGCAACTTAAGACAACTAACCTAGCAACAAAACTCAACTAACCTAGCAGCTACAATTAACTAACCTAGCAACAACAGATAACTAACCTAGCAACAAAACACAACTAACCTAGCTGCAAGAAAGCAATAACCTAGATACAAAAGACAACTAACCTAGCAGCATCAGACAACTAACCTAGCAGTAAGAAAGAACTAACCTAGATTGGACCGGGCTAGATGCGTGCTCGCTCAAAGGCCACGAGTACATACCGAGGCAGACAGACCTCGAGGACCAGAGCCATACAGCACACGAGACGGCGGACGATCTCCCCTGCTATTGGACCCTTCCGCCGCACGACACGACGGACGATCTCCCATTCTTTAGGTGACCCGAATCAGCCTCGCCATAGGCTGACTACGTCCGGTGGCTCTTGCGACCGTTGATATGTCCATCACAGCCATTACTTGGAATGCCCGTGGCCTGGCGAACAGGGCTACTCTTTCTCACCTTCACTCTCTTATTCGAGACCATAGAGTCGATTTTGTTGGCTTTATTGAGCCGATGATTCGCACTCCCTCTTTTGACTACTACTTGCGTCGTCTGGGCTTCCACTCGGGCGTGGGTAATATTTCGCACAAGATCTGGTTTTTCCACTCGCGTGACTACACTTGTCGGGTCCTCCGCGACACCGATCAGGTGCTTCACGTAGAGATTTCTGCTGCCCATCTCCCTGAGCCCATATTTCACACTTTGGTTTACGCCAAGTGTACTAGGGTCGGGCGATATGACCTTTGGGACACCCTGCGTGAGATTGCCGAGAGTGTGGAGGGATTGCCATGGATGGTTAGTGGTGATTTCAACATCTTTCTGCATCCCGATGAGCGTGTGGGTGGCCGCACGGACAGGTCACGGGAAATGTGGAATTTTGCTCAGGCAGTGGCGGACTGCGAGTTAATTGACGCTGGATGTGATGGTGAGCCCTTCACGTGGGTGAGGGACGGACTCAAAGAGAGGTTAGACCGTGCCTTAGTTTCTGAGGCATGGTCGAAGGTGTTTGTGGTTACGACCGTCACACACCTTACTCGATTTGGGTCTGACCATTCACCCCTTCTCATCCGGTGCCGATTTTCGAGCACCCGCCACCGCTCTTCGTTTAGGTTCCAAAACATGTGGGTTCGTCACCACTCCTTCCACGACACTGTCAGGGATTCCTGGCTTTAGCCGACTGGGCTCTTCGGGATGCGCAATCTCGAGGCGAAGCTCGACAGACTGCGGCGTCAGTTGAGACAGTGGAACTGGGATGTTTTTGAAAACCTTCATCAGCGCCTTGCTGCGGCCCAGAGTGCGCATGCGACGGCTGAGCGGGCCTA